AATGTTGGAAATTTTTTTTTTTTTTTTTTTTTTTTTTTTTTTTAACAGCCAAGAATCTCTCTCAGGAAACCATGTTAAGAGAGCTTGAAGAAAAAGTAAATCTGCAAGAAAACTCTTTGACTTTAGAGAAACTGAAGGTTTCTACAGCTGATCTGGAAAAGCAGCAAGATCAAGACCTTTTGAAGAAAAGGGAATATCACATTGAACAACTGAATTATAAGTTAAGCAAGACAGAGGAAGAGTATAAAGCTTTACTGAGTACTTTGGAGTTAATGAAGAAAGAATATAAAAAATTGGAAGAAGAGAAAGCTCTGTTTTCTTCTTGGAAGAGTGAAAATGAAAAACTTTTAAATCAGATGGCATTAGAAAAAGAAAGCTCACAGAGTAAAATCAATCACTTGGAAACCCTTCTGAATACGCACCAAATAAAAAGTCATGAATATGATGAGAAAGTAAGAACACTGCAGATGGAAAGAGAAAGCCTAAATGTCGAGATCAGAAACCTTCACAGCGTGATAGACAGCAAGTCTGTGGAGATAGAGACACAGAAACAAGCTTTTGTAGAACTACAGCAGAAAGCTGAGGTCTCAGATGAGAAACATAACAAAGAAATAGAAAATATGTGTCTCAAAACTTCTCAGCTCACGGGGCAAGTTGAAGACCTGGGTCACAAGCTTCAGTTACTGTCAAGTGAAATAATGGACAAAGACCAGCAGTATCAAGACCTGCATGCTGAATATGAGGGCCTCAGGGATCTGCTAAAATCCAAAGATTCTTTTCTGGTGACAAATGAGGATCATCAGAGAAGTCTTTTGGCTTTTAAACAGCAGTCCGATAAGAATGATTCTTTTGCAAAAATTAGAGGAGAACAAGAATGCATGCCTTCAGAAAAGAGTGAGTGCAATTTAGAAGTTGACCAAAGTCCAAAAAATTCAGCCATCCTACAAAATAGAGTCGTTTCACTTGAATTTTTATTAGAGTCTCAAAAGCAGATGAACTCAGATCTGCAAAAGCAGTGTGAAGAGTTGGTACAAATCAAAGGAGAAATAGAAGGAAACCTTATTAAAGCAGAACAGATGCATCAGAGTTTTGTGGCTGAAACAAGTCAACGCATTAGTAAGTTACAAGAAGACACTTCACTTCATCAGAATGTTGTTGCCGAAACGTTAGTTGCCCTTGAGAACAAGGAAAAGGAGTTCCAGCTTTTAAACGAAAAATTAGAAACTGAGCAAGCTGAGGTTCAAGAATTAAAAAAGAGCAACTATCTACTGGAAAACTCTGTAAAGGAGTTACAACTTTTATGTGAGACCCTGAGCTCAGAGAAAAAGGAATTAAGTTCTGTTATTTCTCTACACAAAAAACAAATTGAAGAGCTAACCCAAGAAAATGGGGCGCTCAAGGAAATTAACGAAACTTTAAATCAAGAAAAAGCGAACTTTGTCCAAAAAAGTGACAGTTTTTCAAACAGTATAGATGAAAAAGAAAGAATTTCAGAGTTTTCTGATCAGTTTAAGCATGAAAGACTTACTTTACTGCAAAGATGTGAAGAAACTAGAAATGCATTTGAGGATCTTAGTCAAAAATACAAAGCAGCACAAGAAAAGAACTCTAAATTAGAATGCTTGCTAAACGAATGTACTAGTATTTGTGAAAATAAAAAAATGGAGTTAGAACAGCTAAAGGAAATATTTGCAAAGGAACACAAAGAATTCTTAACAAAATTAGCCTTGGCTGAAGAAAGAAACCAGGTTCTAATACTAGAGTTGGGTACAGTACAGCAAGACAGGCAATCTGAGATTGCACATATCCAGAACAATTTCAAGAGTGAGACTGATGGTTTAAACCAAGAAATTATGATTTTAAAGGAACAGCAAAATAAGATGCAAAAAGAAGATAATGGCTTATTACAAGAAAATGAGGAATTGAAAAAATTAATGCATACTAAACATGAACATCAAAATCTAGAAGTGGATCCAATAAGAGACTCCATGAAAGACAGCAAGAATGAGATAAATAAGCATAATTGTCAACGGCAGGTAGATCTTGAGGTTAAGGACCTTTTTCTAGACAGTTACAATACACAGTTGGTACATTTAGAAGCTATGGTAAGAAATTTGGAAGTCAAACTTCTGGAAAGTGAGAATGAAAAAGAGTGCTTGCAACAAGAACTACAGAGAACTAGAGGAGAATCAGAAACTAAAAGTTCACAAGACACACAGTCACAAGAAATCAGTAACCTTAAAGACTGCGAAAAAGATACAGAAGAAAAGTATATTTCAGTGCTTCATGAGTTGTCGACAAGCCAAAATGACAATGCACACCTGCAGTGCTCTCTGCAAACAGCAATGAACAAGCTGAATGAACTAGAGAAAATGTATGAAATACTGCAGATCGAAAAACTTGAACTAGTGTCTGAGCTGAATGACTCAAGATCAGAATATATCACAGTAACTAATAAAATGACAGAAGAGGTAGAGAAACTGGTAAATGAAGTTAAAATATTAAACGATAAAAATAGTCACCTTCAAGGTGACTTAGTGACAGAAATGGCAGAAGGTGAATTCGGTGAACAACAAAATGAGAAGTCTGTGTCTTTGAATCCTATGGAGGATAGTAATTCCTATGAGCGCTTGACATTGTCAAACAAAGAAGTTCAAACGCACTTTGCTGAATTACAAGAGAAATTCTTGTCTTTACAAGGTGAACACAAAATTTTACATGATCAGCACTGTCAAATGAGCTCTAAGATGTCAGAGCTCCAGACCTATGTTGACAAATTAAAGGCTGAAAATTCAGTCTTGTCAGTGAATCTGAGAAATGTTCAAGGTGACTTGGTAAAAGAGATGAAGCCAGGACCTGAGGAGGAGCAAATTCTGTCACCGTCATTTTCTTGTGTAACTGACAGCCCTAATCTTACACGATTTGGAGAAGGCTCTCTTGACAAAGATCTTTTAGAACAAACAGGAGAAACATCTCTTTGGAGTGACTTAGAAGGGAATGTTTCAGCAAACCAGTCTAATGTAGGTGAAGTATCTTGTAGCAGTTTGGAGGAGGAGGAGAATCTGACTAAGAAAGAAACCTCTTCTGCCCCAGTGAGAAGTGTTGAAGAACTAGAGATACTCTGTCAGATGTATCTGCAGTCCCTCAAGAATCTAGAAGAGAAAATGGAAAATCAAGGGATTCTCAAAAATAAGGAAATTCAAGAGCTGGAACAGTTACTAAGTTCTGAAAGGAAAGAGCTCGACTGTCTTAGGAAACAGTTTTTGTCAGAAAATGAACAGTGGCAGCAGAAGCTGACGAGCGTGACCATGGAGATGGAGTCTAAGTTGGCAGCAGAAAAGAAGCAGACAGAACACCTGTCAATGGAGCTCGAAGTAGCACGACTCCAACTTCAAGGACTGGATTTAAGTTCTCGGTCTTTCATTGGCACTGATACAGATGTAAGTACCTGGGATTTACATGTTGGTTCTCTAATGTGACTAGTTGAATTGGAATAAAAATTAAGTGTAAATTAAAACATTTTTAAGGTTCAAGGAAATATTAAACAAAATATACTATTTTAAAAAGAAACCAGAGCTTTAGGAAAAATACCCATGTAGATAAGAGGGGGGACAACCATAGTTACTTAGAACCTTGTCCTTTCCAGTGTACTAGCTTAACTAGCAGTACCATATAATTTATGGGTCTCACTTGACTACCCCTAACCCCATCTGCCTCTAAGGTAGGAAGGGTAGGTCATGGTCGGTGGCAGCAGGAGAAGTGATGACTTGCAGATCCCTTTTTACAGGTGAAAGTGAGGCTCAAATGTGTAATTACCCAAGAAAGTACATAGTAGGTACTGTTAAATGACTGAAACCTATGGGCAGGTATCTGGTCATGAAGCCATGCTGCCTCCTCTTATGAAAGAATATTATAAATGCTGAAAATGGAAGGTGAACATTTGAACAGAATGTTAGCCTCTCATTTGTTAATCATAATCATAAAGAGAAAATTTACTTTTAAGCTACCTAGATGTTACATATTTTTAACATTTAAGCTCCCAAGAATATTTCTAACAAGAAAATATTAAATAGAATACATTGCAAGCTAGTTGAAAAACTGATCCGAAGGATTTTTCTTCATAATAAATACCTCATCCAGTGCCTTCCCATAGGAGCACTTACTGAATATTTAATCATGTTGAATATTTGGACAAAGAGAGGAGGATTTGATGGGAACTAGGCCATTTGAAGAGATGTGTTTAGTAGAAGTCAGTTTCTATAAAGTAATAAGTAAGGCTATTTATTCTATTTTGATTCTTCTTGAAAAATAAAATTTTTGTTATTTATTACAATTACAGGTAGTTCGGGGCCAAAATGAAAGCTGTGATATAACAGAATCTGATGAATATACATCAGAAACTACAGAAAGAATACCAAAGCAGGATATTTGTCAGATTTGTGATGAAAATAATCAGCAGGACCTCAGTCTTGAGACCAGGGAAATAACTGAGACAGAGACAGTCAAACTTAGAGGAGAATGCTGTAAGGAACAATCCCCAGAAACTAACTGTGATGTTCCAGTGGAAGATAAGCCCCAGGGCTGTCCAGAATGCATTTCCCAATTGTCACTATCTGGACCTAGTGCTTTGGTACCTGTGAATGCCCTGGGGGATCAGGTAACCATCCAGAATCTCCAGCTACAGGTAGAAGAGACATTAAGTGAGAATCTGAGGTTACTTCATGTGTTAGAGGATCGTGACAAGAAAGTTGAAAGTTTGTTAAATGAAAAAAGAGAGTTAAGTGCAAAACTTGATTTGCAGGAAGTACAACTAACAAACAAGATCGAAGCGTGTATAGCATTAGAAAAAATTCTTGAAGAACTTAAAGAAAAATCAGATTTAAGTGAAAAATTGGAATCTGTGTCTTGTGATAACCAGGAGTTATACCAGAGAGTAGACACTTCAGACAGCATGAATCCTCATTTAGAAATGGGCCCAAATAAATTGTCAGATGAAGTTATTGACGATAGTGTTGCCAAGGTGGATGACAACTGTAAAAAGAGCTTGCTTGATATGGAAAATGAACTGAACAGGATAAAATCTGAGAAAGCTAGCATCGAGTGTCATGCCCTCTCCATGGAAGCTGACTTAGAGATAGTTCAGACAGAGAAGCTATGTTTAGAAAAAGACAATGAAAGTAAGCAGAAGGTTATTGTCTCTCTTGAAGAAGAGCTCTTAGTGGTCACAAGAGAGAGAAACCGGCTTCATGGAGAATTAGATACTGTGTCTAAAGATAACAAAGAACTGGTTGGAGTGTCTGAGAAGCTGAAAGAGAGAGTACAGGAGCTCGAGTCTCATCAAGGTGCATGTGTTGATCGCATTCAGGTCGTAGAGGCCGAATTAAAGGATAAAACAGAACTTCTTCAGACTTTGTCCTCTGATGTGAGTGGGCTGTTGAAAGACAAAACTCATCTCCAAGAACAACTGCAGAGTTTGGAAGAGGACTCACAGGCACTGTCTTTGGTAAAACGTGAGCTGGAAAACCAAATTGGACAATTAAATAAAGAAAAAGAATCACTTCTCAGGAAATTTGAAAGCCTGCAGGCCAGACTGAGTGAATTGGAACATGACAAGCTAAATGTCTCCAAAGCCTTGGAAGCAGCACTAATAGAGAAAGGGGAGTTTGCAGGGAAGCTGAGCTCAACGCAAGAGGAGGTGCACCAGTTGAGAAGAGGCATTGAGAAACTGAGAGTCCGCATTGAGGCTGATGAAAAGAATCAACTCCATGTTGTAGAGAAACTGAAAGAAAGAGAGCGTGAGAATGATTCGCTTAAGGATAAGGTTGAGAGCCTAGAAAGGGAATTGCAGATGTCTGAAGAAAACCAAGAGCTGGTGATTCTTGATGCCGAGAATTCCAAAGCAGAAGTAGAAACCCTAAAAACACAAGTGGAAGAGATGGCCAAAAGCCTGAAAGTTTTAGAATTAGACCATGGCAAGGTAAGGTCCGAGAAAGAAAACCTAACTGAACAATTACAAGAAAAACAAGATCAAGTGTCAGAATTGGACAAAATGGTCTCTTCATTTAAAAGTCTATTAAAGGAAAAGGAGCAAGCAGAAATACAGATGAAAGAAGAAGCTAAAACTATAGTGGAGATGCTTCAAACACAATTGAAAGAGCTAAACGAGGAAGTGAAAGCTTTGTATAATGACCAGGAAGGCTGGAAGGCTGAAGAACCGAGCCCAGACACACCAGTGGAAGACGTGGATAAGAAAATAAATAGTATTGAAAAGCTAAAAGCCCTCATAGAAACTGATGGAAAGAAGCAGCGCCTTGTCATAGAAAAACTGAAAGAAAGTCAACATAGTGCAGATTTGCTGAAGGATAGAGTTGGAAACCTTGAAAGAGAGCTAGACATATCAGGGAAAAACCAAGAGAGTGCAGTTCTCGAGGCTGAGAACTCCAAAGCTATGGTAGAGACCTTAAAAGCAAGAATAGAAAAGACAGACCAAAACCTGAGTGATTTGGAATTAGCTCTCACTGACATAAGGTTAGAGAAAGAGAATCTGATGAAAGAAAAACAAAAAGAGCAAGAGCGAGTATCTGAATTAGAAACATTAAGTTCTTCACTTGAAAATCTGCTACGAGAAAAAGAGCAACAAAATGTACAGTTGAGAGAAGAATCTACAGTTGCAATAGAGATGGTTCAAGCAAAATTCCAAGAGTTAAGTGAAAAGGTGTCAGACCTGTGTAATGACCAAGAAATCTATAAGGCCAAAGTACAGAATCTGAGCAATCAAGTAAATTCTCTTGAAACTGAGAAGGCTAAGTTGCTACAAGACCTTAACAAGGCCAAAAATAATGACAGTGTTTTGCAATCTACTGTCAAGGACCTCATTCGAGAAGTAGAAGATGGCAAACAGAAAGTAGAGAAGAAAGATGAAGAAATCAGTAGATTAAACAGTCAAATTCAAGACCAAGAGCAGCTCCTCTCCAAACTGTCTCAGGTGGAAGGAGAGCAGGAACTATGTAAGAAGCAGAATGTAGAACTGAGAAATCTGACAGTGGAATTAGAGCAAAAGATCCAAGTGCTGCAATCCCAAAATGCCACCTTACAGAACACTGTAGAAGCACTGCAGAATTCTTACAAGGATATAGAGAATCAGCTTGAATTGACAAAAACAGAAAAAATGTCCTTTGCTGAAAAAGTAAGTGAATCTATTCATATTTTAGTGCATAGCTTAGGAGAGAAACTATTGATATTTCCTTCTAGTTGGTGGCTGCCATCCATATTGGACCAAACTTTGTAAAGGCTTTATGTTTGTGAGGTCCTAAATTGCAGGAACATTGAGTGGACTGGCAGTTGGGATATTGGGATTCACTTGAACACATTTGTGTATTTTTCATGGATTGCACCAGATTTAAAAAAAAAAAAATGAAGATTTTCTTTGCCATAGGACTTGTGTGCTTGCTGGAAAGAGACAGAGAAAGTGAGAAGGAAAGTGAGAAATTATCCTCCATGGGGATATGGCTACATCACAAATCCCTTCTCTTGGAATTTTGGATACTCAGGTTTACATTTCTGGTGTGATTTTCAAGTTACTAGGTCCAGGACTCAAACCAGAGTTAGCCATGTTGGATTCCAGTGCCTTAACCACCATGCTACCTGCTGGCCCCTTGTTTTTGTTTTTAAAAGGTTTTTTTTGTTGTTGTTGTTGAGAGAGAGAGAAGTAGAGAAAAAGAGAGAGAGGTCAATAGGATCTTACCACACTGCAGTCCTCCCCTCCAGCCTTTCAGCCAACTGGGATCACAGGCATGCACAGGTGGCCAGATGTGTTCAGGTTGACCCAGGATTTGTACCTGGGGCTTCCATATGGCCTCAGTATCATGCAGCAGTTCCTTGGTACCTGCCTCACTATGGCTGGGCCTGGACCAAACTTTAACATGGCATATCCAACGAGAAACTTTATAATTCCTGGTCCTAGTTATGTTTTCTATAGTATACCAGGGTAATCTCCACAAATTCAGTTAGGAACCACTGCCATAGACAGTTTAACAGAGACTAGTTAGGGGACAAGCACATGGTGTAATGGTTATGTTACTGGACTCCATATAGTCAACTGCTGTTTGAGTCCTGGACCTTAGAAGTCACACTGGATGCATGTGTGATCCCAAGATCCTGAGAAGAGAACAGAGGAGAAGGGATTGCGGTTTGATCATGTGATCATCCCTCCTGGGGGTGATTTCTTGCTTTCTGTCTGTCATTGTCTCTCCAGCATATGTGCATGCCCTATAGCAAAAGTCTCTCTTTAAAAAAAAAAAAGATACTAGTTAGAATCACCCAACCTAGCTTTTTTTCCTTCAGGAGAAAAACCTTTAGGATACCGATGTAATTATAATCAGTGTTCATGGCTCCCAGGATGTTTCTTAGGGATTTTGGACTTTGAATTTCCTCTCTTTTGGTACCTTCTTTTTTTGTAGTTTCCAATTTTGTTAGCTGGTGATTAAAGAGAAGAACTGCCATCGAGAGGCTCAGTTATTACAGAAAAGTTTTGACTTAATATGCTTACTCAACTGATTTAGGAAAGTGATTCCTTAAAATTGTTATTTAACAAATATTTTTTAAAAAGGAGTATGTAGAAAATACTTCATTATCACTTTGTATTTTCCAGCAATATCAGGTTCTTGTGTATCTCTCAAGAGATGACAGTTAGTGTTAAGATGAGACAAGGACCCACAAGTGATGTGATGGTTAAGGCACTGGATCCCACATAGCTGACTTTATGGTTTGAGTCCCAGACCTGGCAGCCTGAAAAACAGTGCTGAGTCTATATGTGTGCATGCCCAAAATCTGGAGAGGAGAATGGAGGAAAAGGGATTGATTGCACATAGCCACCCCCCGCCCAGGGGGTGATTTCTCACTTTCCCTCTCTGTCTCTGTCTGTCCCTCTCTGGAAAGCACATGTGCTCTATGGCAAAAAAACCAAACAAACAAACAAAAAACATGATGGCACAACTGTAGGAGTGTTTCAGTTTCAAGGGGGGAATATGCAAACAATAGAACTTTAATTGGTTTTAACTAATCTTAGGCATGTTTCTTGTAGATTAGGATGGCATTGGGGACATTAGTAGAGATCCAAGAATTGATAATAAACTAAGATACTGCCTTGTATAGTATTCTCTAATGTTTAAGTTTAATTGAAATTAATACCTTTATGAAAGGTTTTAACACTTAGTAATATTATCTTTCTTTGTCGTTCTTTTGCTTTTTTGCTGTCGTTCATTAAATCTTTGCTGAGGAGAAAAAAGTTAAGCTTACCAGTAGTTTTTGAGAATGTTGAGTGGATTAATAAAGAGAAGATTAGCCAGGCTTCATTTTATTATTAAAGGCTAAAGTAAATGTCATGAATATGTTGTATCAGAGAGATAAACATGATCCAAAAGCAGATTCTAACGAAAGATTAAATTTCAGGTAAACACCATGACTGCAAAGGAATCTGAGCTGCAGAGGGAAATACGTGAGATGGTACAAAAAAGGACAGACCTAGAAGAAGAATTCAGTGGAGAGAAAAATAAACTAACTAAAGAATTAAAATTATTGTTGGAAGAAATACAGAGCAACAAAGTAAGTTTCTTTGTGACTGATTCATTGCATTCTCAGAAGCCTCCTTGTTGGTTTCTGGTTCTGTGATGTACCAAACTCTTTTTAGCTTTTGAAAAGAATAACCTGCATTTGAGTCATAATCAGACTTATAGTAGCCTTCATTCTTTAGGACTGCCTTGATCCAAGAAGGTGTTATGAGAGGCTTCTGGACACAAGAAAACACCTGTCTTAGAGCGTAACCATGTTTTCATGAAGAGTAACCCTGTGCTACATTAACTTACATCAGAAGTAGTTGTCATGTAACTTTCAACAGGTTTATTTGCTTTCCTCACCTACCTCAGCTTACTGGCTGGAATGTTGCTGGAGACTGATGAAAGAATTAACAAAATAACAGATGGAAAGTCACAGTAAAATGTTAAGTTAGAGCAATCTTGCCAGGCTGTGTCAGGGCAGGGTTAATTCGGCATTTCTGTAACATGTGGGCTGTTATCTTCCGCCACTTCCACTGCTGTTCCCATAGCAGACCTTGCTAAGTCATATCCTCCCTTTTGCTAGATCTCCTAATATGGTCCTAGGTTTCTGCAGCCATGCAGACAGAGCTGGTAGAGACATGAAACCTGTTTGCTCAACCTGGTTAAGCTATAAACTTCTCTTTATCCATATGGTTTTCATGCAATTCTGCCCCTAAGTAGTACTTAGGAAAGGACAGCAAAATAAAAGATAGTCATGATTGTGACCCTGAATAAGCACAAAAGGTTGAAATGATATATGCAGTATCCCGTTTAAGGAGTTGGGGAAATGTGTACTTTTCTTTACAGAAAGTATTTAATTTATGAGAATTGAGAAGTTTTGCCATTTAATCTTAGCAGTTGATGTAGGGAGTTTTCTGGTAATGCTGCGTAGAAGGTGTTCCAGTGAATGGTATATGATTACTGCATCTGCTGAAATCTGTTTTGGTACTGCAGTTTGGGAGTACCCTAAGTGTATTGTTATTTATAGTTCAGGTATAGGCTCTGCTAAGGGAAAAATTGGATGTTCGACCTCAGGTCCACACATGGCGAGTGTGCTAAGTCTGTAATAACTTTACCTATTCATTCTATAAATAGGAAAGGCTACTGAGGTCAGGAGACAGAATGTCAAACAAAGCTATCCTGTGGTCCTTACAGTCAGAACTTACAATGTAGTCACACAGTAAATCAAGAAATCATGATAAATACATAAAATAACCATAAACCAGTCAGTGCCATTATGGATGTAAATAAGATTCTTCACTGCAGAATAATTGGGAAATGGGGGGTGGGGAGGCACACTAATACAGATTGGTGGCCAGAGAATGTCATCTCTATGAGGAGTCAGTTGTGCCAAAAATCAGACAGACAGGAGACTCCTAGGTATAGAGAAGTGGCATGGGAAAGCTGTGAGATTAGCGAGGTCTTTGTATAATTTAGAAATTGAAAGGAAGCCATTACGGCTGAAGCCAGAGGGAAAATGACATGGAAAAAGATGGAGTGGTAGAAGGCTATGGAAGGTTTAGGACAGGATTATCAGTCAGTCTAGTTCAGTTTATAGCTACTATTAACAAATTGTGGGAATGACAGAAGAGGAGAGAGTGTGGCTCAGGGACTAGCCCAAAAGGAACTTCAGTGCACAGATAAGATGGAGGTAGAGGAGCCAGCCAAGAAAATTAAGAAGCCTCAGTGAAGCAAACCAGGGAAGTGTGTTCTAGAAGTCAAGAGTTGTCAGTGACACCACTACTGTGTAGAAATTGGGTGAGGTGAGCTCTGAAGAGTGTGCCTTGGGTTTACAACATGGGGGTTGATGATGCCAAAAAAAGTTGTTTCAGGAGGAAATGGGACAGAGCTGGATGGGATGGGTTGAAGAATGAATGGAAGATGAGGATGTGGACACAGTACATACAGAAATACCTTTTGGGGGTCAGGCATGACCTGGATTGGGGTTTTGGCATTCTTTCACAATGGAGGGAGGGGTCAGAAAAGTTGAGGGCTTTCAGAAGGAAGCTTAACAGTGATAGAACATGGAGGAGAACTGGTTCATGGAAGAAAACAAATCTTGAAGGGATTGAAGAGATCAAGGATTATTGTAATTTAAAAATTTAATTAGTAAGCCTAGAAGTATAGGGTGGCTGGTCCTTGACCTAGTTAAGATGAGTTTTAGAGATTGTGTAGGCATGACCTTAGAAGTGGTTGGATGGGAGCAGAAGAAAATGCCAGTGGAGGTGAAATCATAATTTAAAGTGAATACATTGCAAAGGAGTGATCACAGCATTATCTTATATAGATCTGGTCTTGCCCATGAGCTGCTTTTTTCTCCATAGTACTTTATTTCCTAAAGTATATATCCAGGTCCTTAATTATAAGGAAGCACAATTATGATTTTAGTAATTTTCTGTTTAGGGTCAATTGAAGGAGCTCATGTTAGAAAATAGTGAATTGAAGAAGAGTTTGGATTGTGTACACAAAGATCAGGTGGAAAAGGAAGAGAAAGTAAGAGAAGTGACTGAGTATCAGCTACAGCTTCAGGAAGCTGAGAAGAGACATCAGACTTTGCTTCTGGACACAAACAAACAGGTAAATACGGAGTTTTGTTATTGGAGGAACTGGAGAGTATGATTATTACAGAAATAAGTTTTTTTGCAAGAAGGTAAATATTCTGCATTGTTATTTTGCTGTATAATTAGAGTCTCATGTCAAATTCACTATCTTCTCATTTACCTGTCTTATTTTATCACTTTTGATATTTAAAAAAATATCTTTTTATCTTGAAGTATAATAATAGAGTTGTAGACTTTGAAATGGTACTTGGAACGACAGGTTTTTATTTTCCTTAGAATTTTTTTAGCTGAGTATCCTGACTAAAGTGATATTTTCTTGCCCTAGTACCAAATAGAAATCCAGACTTATCAAGAAAAATTGACATCTAAAGAGGAATGTCTCAAATCACAGAAGTTGGAGATAGACAACTTAAAGTCTACTAAAGAAGAACTCAATAATTCTTTGAAAGTGACCACACAGCTTGTAGAAGAATTGAAGAAAGCCAAGGTATGTTCACTTCTCATTGCCTTGTGACTTAGGAGGTTCATACTAATAGCCATGGTTTTAATGGTATAGAATTAAATGGTTTTATATTGATTTTATGAAAATGTTTGAGAGTCAAATTGATGCAGTTCATCAGTTTTCTCCTGAATCTTAAAAAATGTCAGTGGATGGCCAGCAGTCTCATGGCTTGAAAAAGCTTTATATCCATTGCTGCTTTTTTTTTTTTTTGGAGAGATTTTTGCTATAGGGTGTGTGCGCTCACCCCCCAGGGGGGATGGCCACGCCGCAATCCCTTCTCCATTCTCCTCTCGGGATCTTGGGCACGCACACACACATGCCTGGCATGAGTTTTAAGCCACCGGGTCTGGGACGCAAACCGTGGTCAACTACGTGGGAGTCCAGCGACATAGCCATTACGCTAACTGCTGGTCCCCCCATTGCTTCTTGAGTCCTCACAAGCTAGAGAGTGTTAAACACTTCTGGAGGGGAACATGAAGATTCAGCCACATAGCAGTTTACAGCAGGCCTTACTGGCATAGGGAACAATTTGGTGGGCAGTTCCAAAGTCTGGATTGATTGTTCTCCAAGTTCAGGTGTCACTAGATGCACTTCTTTGTGGCTTATAGGGAGATCAAGGTGTGGCAGTACTTCTTGGTCAGGATATGTGAATATCCTCCTCCTCTCCATGAAAGAATCATGAAACTTCTTACAAACCCCATCTCAGGATTGTTAGTCTGAAGATGGTACTGTAGGTATTCTACCTGGAAAGGAGCTGATTTGTTTCCTACAGATATTTTCCATAAGATGAATACCTCCTAGAATCTGCAATAATAAATGGAAAATAATTAGGTCTTTGTAGGAGGATTTAAATTATTCTTGTTTTTAAAGAGATTTTTGCTAAAGACATGTGTGTTCAATAGAGAGAGACAGAGAAGGAAAGTGGTCCCTTGAGGGAGGGGGATGGCCATGCCGTAATTAATCCCTTCTCCATTCTCCTCTCGGGATTTTGGGCACACGTGCAAATGCACCCAGCATGCGCTCGCCAGACAGACAGAGACAGAAAGCAAGAAATCACCCCCCAGGGGGAATGGCCACGCCGCAATCCCTTCTCCTCCATTCTCCTCTCCGGATCTTGGGCACACACGCTCATGGCGTGAGTTTAAGCCACTGGGTCCGGGACTCGAACTGCGGTTGACTATGTGGGAGTCCAGCTACATAGCCATTACGCTAACTGCTGGTCCCCTCAGCCTGAGTTTTAACTTACAAGATCCGAGACTCAAACTGCAGTCGGCCATGTGGTAATTCAGCATCTTAACCACTATTTTTATAATTACGATGTTAATTGACTATATATAAATAGAAAGCTAAGTATAAGCTTATTATACTGATAGCTTATATGCAACTATCAAGGTGAAGAATATTTATCAATTAAATACTAACTGACAAAGTTTAAAATAGCAGTGAATGATTACTGATGTTCTACTGCTATAAAATGAGAGCTATTTGGGTTTAAAAATAATATAAACACATAGCCTCAAGGTTTTTTTTTTTTTTTTTTCCCCAGATGGTGTGTGTACTCATCATAGAGAGACAGAGGGAGAAAGTGAGAAACCACCTCGTACCCCGCATGCGGAATGGTCACGCTGCGGTCTCTTCTCTTCCATTTCTCCGTTTTTTGGGGATTTGGGGCATGCTTGCACATGTACCTGCTATGTTTTTTAAGCAATTTGGTCTGGGACTCAAACTGCATAGTTGGCCATGTGGAATCAATCTGCTTTAATCTCCACACCACAGGCCACCTGTAGGTTTACTTATTTGCTCATACTCTGCTTTTTCAGTCTTTGATTGTTCTGCTGTGGGGAATGTGCCTCTCTCTCTATATGTGTGTGTGTGTGTGTATACCTATTTATTTCTTATGTACAAAATGGTACCTTGTTTGCTAGCTGAGTCTACCAAAATCTTACACAATTTTAATGAGATACTAGTTGATAGGCACCATTGAAATTGAATTCAATGGATTTCCAATCCAGTTGTGATTAGAATCAGAAATAGGGTTTTGCAAGTACAGATTTACTGTAACATTGCTAATATGTTAGTTCAAGAAAAAATATATAGATATAAGGGGCAGCCTATGGCATGGTGGTTAGGGTGGCTGGATCCTACAAAATCAACCCTGTGGTCCCAGACCCTGTGGCTTGAGAGAAGCACCAGGCAAGTGAGGGTATAAACCCAGAATCCTGAAAGGAGGAAGAAAGAGGGAAGAAGGGAGTTTGGTGTGACCATGACTCATGGGATGTGTTTTCTCACTGTCCCCAATGTCCTTTCTCTTTCTCTTTGGTCAGCACATCCATCCTCTGGGATATTAAGAAATACAGAAATGGGGACCAGCAGTTGGCTTAATGGCTATGTCACTGAACTCTCATGTAGTCGGTCGCAGTTTTTTTTTTTTTTTTGGAGAGATTTTCACTGTAGGGTGCGTGCGCTCGCCAGACAGACAGAGAGAGACATAGAGACAGAAAGCGAGAAATCACCCCCCAGGGGGGATGGTCACGCCGCAATCCCTTCTCCTCCATTCTCCTCTCGGGATCTTGGGCACGCACGCACACGCGCCCGGCGTGAGTTTTAAGCCACCGGGTCCGGGACATGAACCGCGGTCGACTACGTGGGAGTCCAGCAACATAGCCATTACGCTAACTGCTGGTTCCCAAGTCGCTCGCAGTTTGAGTCCCGAACCCGGTTACTTAAACTCATGCCGGTGCATGTGCGTGTGTGCCTGAGATCCCAAGAGGAGAATGGAGAAGGGATTGCCGGTGTGACCATCCCCCCTGGGGGGGGCAGTTTCTCACTTTATATCTTTCTGTCTGTCTCTGTCTTTCTGGCGAGTGCACGCGCCCTATAGCAAAAACCTCTCAAAAAAAAAAGTAGGACTAGCAGTTAGCGTAATGGCTATGTCGGTGAATTCCCACGTAGTCGACCGCAGTTTGAGTCCTGGACCCGGTGGCTTAAACTCATGCCAGGCGCATGTGCATGCGTGCCCAAGATCCCGAGAGGAGAATGGAGGAGAATGGATTGCGGCGTGACCATACCCCCTGGGAGGTGATTTCTTGCTTTCTGTCTCTCTGTCTTTCTCTGTCTTTCTAGCAAGCACACACGCCCTATAGCAAAAACCCCTCAAAAAAAAAAAAAATACAGTAATGAAAAATAAGAGATCCAAGCTATGATGTCGATTGACTTGTACCATGAACAAGGTCCTCCGGTTAATTTTCTCCTTTGTTTTAGCAGTTTGATATTCCCTTATCAGATTGTTTTAGAATTCTACTTTTATTTATTTATATTTGGAGAGAGGTTTTTGCTGTAGGATGCATACAAATTTCTCATCTGAGAGAGAACAACAGAGACAGAAAGCAAGAAATCACCCCTGTTGGAGGATGGCCATGTCATAATCCCTTCTATTCCATTCTCTCCGGATCTTGGGCACACATGCACACGTGCCTGGTGTGAGGTTTAAGCTGCCAGGTCTGGGTCTCAAAATTGCAGTCGACTACATGGGAGTCCAGTGATGCAACCATTTTGCCATCTGCTGGTCCCAGAATTTTGCATTTTTTAAAGATATTGTATGATATAGTACATGCACCATGTATGATATAATGTGCCAACAAGTCTAGGACGATAATTCATAATGTAATTCATGTTTCTGCGACAAAATGCATCGATATTCTTTATTTTTTAAAGAGATTTTTTGCTATAGGGTGTGTGTGCTCACCAGAGAGAGAGAGAGAGAGAGACACAAAGAGACAGAATGTGAGAAATCACACCCCAGGGGGGATGGACATACTGCTATTCCTTCTCCTCCATTCTCCTTTCCGGATCTTGGACATGCATGCACAAATGCCCAGTGTGAGTTTTAAGCTGCTGGCTCCAGTACTTGAACTGCAGTTGACTGAGTGGAAGTCCAGTGACATATTAATCATTACACCGTCTGCTGGTCCCTATATGGATAATCTTACAAGGTAGGATAAAAGCTGTAAATATCTTCCTGTCTGGTCAGATCAGGTTTTGCCTCTAAATCATTTTCACAGCTTTTTCTTTTGCTTTTCATTTTGAAATTGTAGATAAGGAACTGTGAGCTTGTACTACTGATATGTGTGATGACACAGTTGTCCCAATGATCATGCACTGCCTATTTGAGCTGCTATAAAATTAAAATTTATATAGTGAGCCATAATGTAATATCATTTGGCCTTCGCTTATTATGACTACAATAAAACAAACACCATTCGAGGTGTTAAGATTGTGTAGCGGTATGTAATTAGAAATGATCAATCTTTTCATTGAGAATTTTGGACCCACTAAGAACATGTGCCTGGGCTGACTCCCTCACCACCCCCAGTAACCAAATGTGAGTCATACTGGAAAATAACAGAGACATAGTAGACACATAATAGGGCATTAACTCAGGAACGATGATGTATGCTTATAATGCTAAGAAAGAGAATGGTAAACTGTGTTGTCTATTGGGGAGAGTTCAAGAATTGAGTAGGAAAGGGCTTGTGTGCTTGCCAGAAAGACAGAGACAGAGAGACAGAAAGCCAGAAATCACCACCCAGTGGTATGGCCACGCTGCAATCCCTTCTCCTCCATTCTCTTCTCGGGATCATGGGCACGCACGCACATGCGCTCGGTGTGAGTTTAAGCCACCGGGTCTGAGATTCAAACCACAGTCAACTATGTGGGAGTCCCATGACTTAGCCATTATGCCACCTGCTGGTCCCAGAAAGGTGAATTTTTTTGCCTGTCTTTAGATATTAGTTTTTAACATAATTTGTGAATGTACAATAATGTGATTCTTAATTATATCTCAGATTTTTTCATATGCTTACAAAAAGAATTTCTTTTGTTTTATAGGTAGACAATCTAAAATATGTAAGTCAGCTGAAGAAAGAAAATGAACGTGCCCAGGGGAAAATAAAGTTGTTGATGAAATCCTGTAAACAACTGGAAGAGGAAAAGGGGATGTTGCAGAAAGAACTGTCTCAACTTGAAGCTGCTCTGGAGAAACAGAAGACAGGTGAGTGTTAACTGTGGCACATCAGTCAGCTAAAACTGCTTTCCAGTAGTGAAATAACACACTTGTGCATACATAGGAAGTGTTGTTAGTGTTTTGTTCTGTTAGGGAGTGCTGAATTTTAGAAGTTATCCATTTTTAAGTTTCTGAATTTTGTGCTCAGCTTGGGGTCATTATAGGATTCAGAATGAAGCCTGCATTTAAAACAGAATTATCCCATCTTGTGTTCTGTAAAACATGCCAAAATTGGTGGTACCTTTTGCTGGTGAGTGATTCTAAGGAGAGTTTTTCATGTTGATGTGCATTTAAGTAGAATCTTTGTCAAAAGCAGATTGTCCTCTGAATTGGCATTAGAAAGTTTATAAATAGCTGATTGTGCTTGCCGTTGGTCTGTCCGCATGGGCCAACTAAGGGGAACCAGTGGGGGAACTATGTTTTTCGGTGTGCAGGCAAAATAAAAAAAGGAAGAGCTATGATAAGGCTCTTTCTCACTTTCTTCCACTTACACTCCCAGAGTGGAATGGGTGTGCTGTGTCAATAGATGATGGCAAACTTGGGTCAGTGGCTCCTCTGGACTAAGGCTGTTCGGGACAGAGCACCATGTTAGGATGTGTGCTTGGAGTAGGTGGGGTTTCAGGGAGTTGTTCTTACAGATATTGTGCTGACTATAGCAGCTACAAGTTGACCAAGATGTCCATCTTTTATAATGTTTCTTCAAACTCTTGTCTCTCACACCCCACATTCCCTCCAAATGGTTTCAGTGTTTTTCTGGATTTGCTTTGTCACTGTCCCCTTCTGTCTTCCAAAGCTATAAACAGAAGTGTCATAATCTTTTTTTTTTTAGGGCTAACTTTTACACTTACTATAAATTCCGTTTTAGTACTGGAGGTTAAATTTTCATCACCAAAAAGTGAGAACTTAATTCCTTTGTATTGCTCTGAATATATTCTCCTAGGTTATTAATATATACTCCTAAATTACATTTGTATTATTTGGATGGAGTTAGAACCCTCATCACCTACTTTTGGCTTTATGGTCACCCCTCTCTTGTTTTGACCCCAGCCAATTAAGCGATAGCTTTTCTCAACTCTTCTGTTAAGAATGCCTTTTTCCCTCCTACTTTTGTGCACACAGGATTAATCACAATGATTTTGCCCAAAGAGCACTAACTCTCCCCTCTGTCAACAGGGATCCTATGTTCACCATAAGAATGTCATTCGTAGAAGCTTTTGCACCTTTGGTGCTTCCTTGTGTCCTCCAGTGCACACACTAGGAGACATCTGAGGAGGAAATAGTGCATTTCCAGTTCTGTGAAGAAGAGATGCCATTATCTTCACTGGCTTTTATTACTCACTTGTGATAGACTGGGGGAAATTAGGAGGTGTGCAAACCTAATTCATTTCATATCACATAATTAGCTCTACCACAAAGTTTAATGAATTGCGGAAGTACAAGTTTAAGATTTTGATGTATTTTGTTTAAACTAACCCAATAAGGGACAGGTATTCGACTAGAGTACACCTTGATTATACTGTCTATACTATCCCCTCCCAAACAATAGTTCTTTGAAATTTAAGAACATATGTAGACATCGTCCTTGCCTCTCAGAGTACCAAAGAATAGGTCTAAGATTATCTGCTTCTTGATGCTTAGTGTAAATTAGAGAAGCTATAGGTTATATATAATCTGTTACTTTCTTTTGGACAGGTACTATTGTGAATCCTAATCTAGATGAATTAATGACCGAAATGAAAGAACTCAAAGAAACTCTGGAAGAGAAAAGTAAGGAGGCTGACGAATACTTGGATAAGTACTGTTCACTGCTTATAAGCCATGAGAAGTCAGAGAAGGCTAGAGAGATGTTGGAAACACAGGTTGCTCGCCTGAGTTCACAACTATCTAAACATGATCTTCGGAGTTCTCCTTCGCTAAATTCAGTTGTTCCAGGACCTTCTCCAGTCTCTTCTGTTCCTGAAAAGAAGTTATCATCTGGTCAAAATAAAACTTCAGGCAAGAGGCAGAGGCCTAGTGGGATTTCTGACAATGATGGAGGATCAGTACCTTCTACCCCAGAGACATTTTCTAAAAAAAGTAGAAAAATAGTCAAAAGTGTTCCTCACTCTGCAAGCGACACAGAAGATACAGAGTTTGAGCCAGAGGGACTTCCAGAAGTTGTGAAGAAAGGTATGTGCAATTTGAAAACAAATTGTTTTGTGTTCTTTTTTTTGGGGAGAGGTTTTTGCTACAGGGCGCGTGCGCTCGCCAGACAGACCGAGAGAGACAGAAAGCGAGAACTCACCCCCCAGGGGGGATGGCCATGCCGCAATCCCTTCTCCTCCATTTTCTTCTCAGGATCTTGGGCACGGACGAACATGCGCCCGGCGTGAGTTTAAGCCACCGGGTCCGGGATTCGAACCGCGGTCAACTACGTGGGAGTCCAGCGACATAGCCATTACGCTATCTGCTGGTCCCTTGTTTTGTGTTATTTTGAAATTTTACGAAACAATTCACATATAGGCACAGTCACGGTGGCATATAGGTAGTACCACTACTTGGGAGTCTGGAGGCCACACAGGAGGTCTGGATTCAGTTCCTACATGGTTGTGTGTACTCATAATCCCAGTTAATTGGGAGGCTTGGGATAGTGACAAAGCAAGATTATCTCAAAAATACTCTGTCTTCCCCTTTCCCTCTCTCTCTCCCTCCCTGTCTTTCTCTTTCTCATAAAAAGGCAGAAAAATGTACTTATAAGAAAATAGGAGCATTTGCTTTTTAGACTATTGTGTAACAATACTAGTTGACCATCTAAAATGATAGTCCACTTTTCAACTTGTTAGGTATGTCTTTTCCTTACCACCATGAGATAATGACAGAAATCTAATTACTGATGTTACACTACCAAAAGAGTTGGTAGATACGAAAGATGACTATCCAAAACTTGTTTAAAATTTCATATTTCTATGCTGAAAAATCCTTAAATCAAGTACATCCTTCAAGCTTTTATATCTTCAGTCATGTCTGACCACGCTAGCAGGTGAGCTGGAGTATGTGCTCACTGATGCTAGCCCCCTGACTGGAGCCACTGAGACACTTTGTCTTGTTAATTCCCCCATGTGTTCCCTAAGTGTGGTCCAGGTACCAGTTCAGTCTAGGAACTGTTTGTTAGTGGCCTGTGGCCAAAATACATGTAGAAATTGAGAGAGTATGAGTTTAGAAATTTTTATAGCAACTTGATATTGTAGTAGTCAAGCACATAGTCATTTTTCTATTGGTTCATTCTCATTGTATAATATAAAAATACTACAGGGCAAACTGAAAATCTGCCCCCCCCAACTTATTGGTGATTTCTATTTGTAGTTAAAAGGCTAAAAACAAAATCAAATGCTTCTTTAGTTAGCCTTGAATTCTGTTCTGAAGTGAGTGTGACGTGCTACTGGTTAGTGTTCTTGGGAGGGACTTTCTCCTCTTGGTCATCAAAAGTCAGGTCAGCTCCTTCTTTGCACAGATACGATGTAAGTGCATGTGAAATCACCCTTAGGAAGGCCGGTCCTTCCCGTTTGTCCGTGAGAGTGGTCACCTGAAGTAGCTGTTACCACTTTGCATTTCCTTCTTTAAACAAGAGCTAGCCTTGGTTCTTTTCTTTTTCATTTCCATTTTACTCATTTTTGCTAATCCAGTGTTTACAATAAGGCCTTTTGGTGTATTTTAGCTCTTAGAAAAATGCAAGGTATTATGATGATAAAAAAATAGAATTTAAAAAAAAGAAAAATGCAAGGTAAAACATCCTCATAGAAAAAGCAGAAAAAGGGCCAGCGGGTGGCATGGTGGTTAAGGTGTTGTAATTCCCACATGGCCGACTGCTGTTTGAGCCCTGAATTTGACGACTTACGTTCTCACTCTTTTCTCATGCCTATCTTTCTCTGGCAAAACTCATGTGAAAATTAATAATAAATAAAATAAATAATTCTTTTAAAAAAGAATAAGGCAGAAAAATACTTTTCTGTATAAGATTATTTTGTTTCCCCACTGTTTTTTTTTTTTTTTATGTTTCTAATAAGAAAATCTGTTAGTTATTTATTCAATTTGATGACTTCCTGGAAAACTATGCTGTGTAATCCATTGTCTGTTGTGACTGAGAGAAAGCAGTTTTTGGAGTTACTTTGTTAAAACTTTTCCTAGTAACCATCATTTCCAATGCCGATAGGACCTGAAGAGCAGTATTGACAGTGAGCTTTTCTGCCCTTAGGGTTTGCTGACATCCCAGTGGGAAAGACCAGCCCCTACATCCTGCGGAGAACAACCATGGCAACCAGGACCAGTCCGCGCCTCGCTGCACAGAAGTTAGCATTATCCCCCCTAAGTCTTGGCAACAAAATTCTCGTAGACTCCTCCAAACGAACAGCTGGTGGCAGCAGATCACAAAAGGTAAACTATTGTGAACATCCATGTGCTGGTTGAGACCCAGGAAATTGCACTGTTATCTGGGTAAGGGTCAGACACTGCCCCCTCTGACTCAGGAGCCCTTCAAAGTTTGACCTTGTGTGATGTGAGTAAGTCAGTCGTGAGCAGGCCTGAGGATAAATATTCTGGTGCACAATCTTGTCCTTGACAAAACAGACCACTTGTAAATAGTGTTGTGGAAAATGGCATTGTCTTACTAAAACTCAGTGGATTTGTGAGAAAGTTTCAAGCAATCCTTTTAAAGGATTGAAAGAGGCAGTTTCCCCGATGGCCACAGGTACTGGTCCTTGCTTGTTTTAAATTTTAACTTTCGCCCATCTGCTCCCCAGCTATTGATTCCTTATGTGTTTTATTTACATCATACAAAAACACATCTGAGGGGACTTTAAGAAGTTCACTATAGTGCAGTGGTTAGGCACTGTGCAGAGAAAGCTGGATGCCACATGGTTGACTGAGGTTCGAATCCTGGCCCTGTTTGCTTGAGTAAAGACATTGGGCTTGCACGTATGTGCCAAAGATTCTGATGAGATGAATGACTGGAGGAAAAAGGATTACCATGTGATCACCTTGTTGGAAGGTGTTTCTCGCTGTCTCTGTGTCTTCTCTTTCATACATGAAATCATGCAGTTTTTTTTTTCTTCATAGAATGCATGTTCCATGAACATTTTGAGGACCCCTCTTCCCATATTTCAGTAGATACCTAAACAAATGAACTCTGTTTATGGATTTGTCTAGTTTAATCATTGAGGATGGGGAAGATTTACTGATCTCTGTGTACCTTACAGACAGACTAGAAAATGTTATTTAAATGTTATTGTTATTTGCTTAACAAGCTTTATTTCATATACATTTGTAAAGTACATGCATTTTACTTGCATGTTTTATTTTCTCATATTAATTTTTTTCTTCTTTATTGGCAAGAAAGCCAAATATACTTGATATTAAAATAATTTTATACCATTACAATTAAAATGAAATGTTGTTTAGATCAATGTGTATAGCAGTTGTATAGACAAAACAAATCTATCTTTTGTTGATATTCTGGAAAACTTCACAAGAACTTGGTAACAATGGTAAGTATTAGGGAAGGGAAGTAAGAAAGGAAGAGTTTTCATTATTAAGACTTACATATCTTTTAATAGGACCATGTGCATGTATTACCTATAAGTATACATGTATTTAAAAAAAATAGTGAGCTTTTCTTTCTTTCTTTCTTTTTCTTTGGAGAAGTTTTTGCTATAGGGCGTGTGCACTTGCCAGAAAGACAGAAAGCGAGAAATCACCCCCCAGGGGGTTTGGCTGCACTGCAATCCCTTCTCCTCTATTCTCCTCTCAGGATCTTGGGCACGCACGCACATGCGCCCGGCATGAATTTAAGCCACCGGGTCCGAGACTTGAACTGCGGTCTACTATATGGGAGTCCAGCGATGTAGCCATTACACCAACTGCTGGCCCCACGAGCTTTTCTTATCCTCAACAACAGAGGAGAGTTAAGCATGAAGCCTGCGGTAACCGAGTCTCCCCACTGTGAGTGCAAAGGCTACAGCAGCGCCTGGAGGAGCTTTCTCGGAGGTTCCCTTCTCTCTGCCACCACGCAGGTGCACTGCAGAGGGTCCACTCTGTGACCGGCAGGTAGGGCACTGAAAGCTTTCCTGCCCGAAACCAGACACCACCCAGAGCTAGCACCTGGAGAGACAAGTCACTCTCCTATGGGTCGTCTTCACTAGAAGCAGGGAGGATCACAGCTGTGAGGCCAGCTCTACTCCTCTCAGTCCCCTGTCCTGTTACTCTCCAGCTGCATCCTCCTTGTTCTTTGGCCACAATGCTTGATTTTGAATACAATGCTCCACACAAGTGAAGTCCCTGTCACTCTACTCTGAGTCTGAACTCTCATGTGACTTCGAAGACTTGTGCTTCACTTTTTTCTTCTTTTTCTTTTCTTTGCTCTTTTCTTATGCTTTTCTTTCTTTGTGTTTCTCTTTACATTCTGAGGAACTGGAGCTGCTAAACATAATATTCATCCGAGGTGGAATCCTCCAGTAACTGTTTTAATTGCTGTATCCTTATATCCTTTTCTTGTCTTATTCTCTTGTATAATGTCATACCTGGGATCTTCATGAGCTACTCTGAACTGCTCTAACTTTTGGTTACCTTTGATAAAGAAAGGGCATTCTTGGTCGCTGGTTCGGTGACCATAACGTTTGCAACGCCAACCTTGATAAACTCAGGAGGAGGTTTTTCATGAAACGACTCCAGGTGCTTGAGCTGTTGCAGCTGCAGCTCCTGCTCCGGCTCCTGCGGCCTCCGCCTCATTTAATTGAATTCTCATAAAGGAATGAAGAATCGTAAAGATTTTACCCAGTGTTAATGTCTAACCTTACGTTAGCCACAATGCCAGTGTTTTTCAAAATGGAGCCCACAGAGGTATTGTTGGAAGTTGCTGGAGTAGCTCAAAAAGTTTCAAATTTTGTGATTTTTTAAAATTATTATTGCCAGAGGGTTCATGCTTAGCACAGAGAGAGAATGCTTAGAGGGGAGAGAGAGAGAGAGAGAGAGAGAGAGAGAGAGAGGGAGGGAGGAAATAGAGAGAGAGCATCCTCCTAGTGGGGTGTGATCGTGCTACAGTCCATTCTCCATTTCTCCATCCTGCCAGGATTTGGAACATACATCTGGCATGTATGCCCAGATTGTTTTAAAAGCGACCAGGACTAGGATTCCAATTGAGGTTAGCCGTATTGCCCCAGCATCTAATGCATAGGACTTAATTACCGTGCTGTGGGACTGGCCCTCAAAAGTTTGCAATTTTACATGATTACTCACTTGTTAGAGTGCAATTAAGTATGGAGTCTGATAACTTTGAACAATAGATTTGCAAGTTTGTTTTTGTTGATGTATAAGAACTATAGGCATTAAAAAATTATACCCTACTAGGTAAACTTATTACTGTAAGTTCATAATTTACATTATAACGGTTTTAATTTATGGGTAAAGAAGAATTAAAATGAATTAAAATTACTTTTCCATTACTTGTTATTTTATTTTTTATTTTTACCATAGGTCACATATACTCACCCAAGAGAGACAGACAGAGAGAGAGAGAGAGAAAGCAAGAAATGGAAATCTAGGGAATGGCCATGCTGCAATCTCTTGTCCTTTATTCTCCTCTCTAGATCTTGGGTATGCATGCACATGCACTTGGCATATTTTTCAAGCCTCTAGGTCCAACACTCAAGCTGTGGAGTTGACCATGTGGGATCAAGCACCCCAACCTCTCTGTCACCTAGTGTGTCCTTTCCCATTACTTTCATTAGAAATATTTTACCAGTTTGTACAAATTTTCCTCCCCACCCCTAGCAATTTCTCTTTCTCTCCTTTATTCAAAATTTGGGTTTAAATTTTTATGCTGTCAGTAAGAACACACTGCAGGTATGTCCTGACTTTCTAATGACTATAAGCACAACTTCTTAAAGCAACTAATACCCCAAAGAGTAATGCTACCAACCTTGATCATAGGTATTAACCACAGACTGTCCACTGAGCTGCTATACAAGAGGAGTCAGGTGAAAGTTCCTGGTGTGGACCATGCCATTTCGTTAGATAGGTGGCTCCTCTCCCTGGGCTGGCCCCTAAGTAAAATCTAATATCTTCCTATTTGACTCACACAGAGATATCAAAGGAAGTAGCTGACTCTCTTAAAACAGAAAACTATCAGATGACAGATACATAGCTAGTGCTCTGGACTTCTGCTATCTTAAGGCAGCTCATTTTATTGTAATTTCTTGTTTCAATATCTGTTACCTGGTTTGCAATCTGAAGTCTGTGAGGTGACTGATTATATCTATGGTTTACCTGTGTCCTGATGACAAATGCAGTGTATAATAGTTGACAAGTGCTTGTTGAGTGAAGTTGTGAATGTTATTTTGAAGTGACTGCAGTACTGGGTGTTCATAAAGGTATGTTAGGGAGTCTTATGAAATCACCACATGAGTGGTTTTTTTTGGTCTTTTATGAGGAATTGGTGGTAAAAAAACCAGTTTGCATTTGGCATTCAGAGTTACTGTCTAAGAAAAAGCTTTGCACACTAGGGGGCCTTCTTTCCACACTACTATTGACTCTGCTGAGGATGGAGTAGTAACCATGGTTTCCTGCAGATCTGTGTTTGATGCATTGGTTACATGCAGTTCAGTAGGCAGGTAAAAAATGCTAAGCAGTTTTGTGCCATTGCACATGAATTGGGGCAGGGGTTCCTCTCGTGAGTAGGTTAAAGACTTAATGGTTAGATTTAAACTCTTCAAAATCTAGCTTGGTAATTTTTGGTTACCCTGTAAAATCCTTGCCTCATCTGTTAAGCATATTTTATCATTTAATTTTAAAGATACAGACCAAGGTATTATTTTCTAAAGCAGCTAGTTAGAAACTCAGGATGATGAGGTTTCCACTGAGATGGCATCTAAGTTGTTTTTTTTTGGAGAGGGTTTTTTTTTGCTATAGGGTGCTTGCCAAGCAGACAGAGAGAGACAGAGAGACAGAAAGCGAGAAATCACCCCTCCCACCACCACCCCAGGGGGCATGGCCACACCACAATCCCTTCTCCTCCGTTCTCCTCTCGGGATCTTGGGCACGCCCGCACACGCGCCTGGCATGAGTTTTAAACCACTGGGTCCGGGACGCGAACCGTGGTCAACTATGTGGGAGCCCAGCGACATAGCCATTACGTTAACTGCTGGTCCCTGCATCTAAGTTTTGAGAGAGATGATTGTTTAGGTCATTTAGCAAGACCTTTAGTGGCATCTGACAAATTCAAAGGGACATATGAGATAAAATGCAAATTAGGGGAAGATCATTCTCTGTTAAGAAACTGGGCTGGATAAGCCCAAGAACCCCTAGTTTGCTGCGGGCAAGGGAATCAGTGACTATGGTCTTGGTCTCCTGAGCTTCGACCTGACAGTCAGGGCCAAAGGATTGATCAGCCTCTAATCCTGAAGGCTGTCTTGGACAGTGCTGGTACCTCGGTGCAGAGATGGTCAGCAGTTCCGTGGGGTTTTGTTTTGTCTACTAGTGAGGTCTGTTTTCACTGAGCCATCCATGTATTTGTTCTCCGTGATGGCTACAGAATTACTTGCGAGACGGAGTAATGAGGCATTACTTGATGGATTCTTGGTGAGTTTGACTTTGTCTACTTATGGACCATTCTGAAACCAGCTACCCAGCATGAGGATTAAGTCCAGAGTTTAAACTTGCTATAGGGTGCTTGCCAAGCAGACAGAGAGAGACAGAGAGACAGAAAGCGAGAAATCACCCCTCCCACCACCACCCCAGGGGGCATGGCCACACCACAATCCCTTCTCCTCCGTTCTCCTCTCGGGATCTTGGGCACGCCCGCACACGCGCCTGGCATGAGTTTTAAACCACTGGGTCCGGGACGCGAACCGTGGTCAACTATGTGGGAGCCCAGCGACATAGCCATTACGTTAACTGCTGGTCCCTGCATCTAAGTTTTGAGAGAGATGATTGTTTAGGTCATTTAGCAAGACCTTTAGTGGCATCTGACAAATTCAAAGGGACATATGAGATAAAATGCAAATTAGGGGAAGATCATTCTCTGTTAAGAAACTGGGCTGGATAAGCCCAAGAACCCCTAGTTTGCTGCGGGCAAGGGAATCAGTGACTATGGTCTTGGTCTCCTGAGCTTCGACCTGACAGTCAGGGCCAAAGGATTGATCAGCCTCTAATCCTGAAGGCTGTCTTGGACAGTGCTGGTACCTCGGTGCAGAGATGGTCAGCAGTTCCGTGGGGTTTTGTTTTGTCTACTAGTGAGGTCTGTTTTCACTGAGCCATCCATGTATTTGTTCTCCGTGATGGCTACAGAATTACTTGCGAGACGGAGTAATGAGGCATTACTTGATGGATTCTTGGTGAGTTTGACTTTGTCTACTTATGGACCATTCTGAAACCAGCTACCCAGCATGAGGATTAAGTCCAGAGTTTAAACTCTGCTCACAGAATACAGCGTTCCCATTTTAATATCAGAAATCGAGGCTAGAAAGGAAGAAATCAAGAGGTGGGCTTCAGTTTCTTCATCGAAATTAAGAAAGATCTTGGGACCTGGTAGTGGCTCAGTGGAATACAACTGGGCTCACACAGGAACAATCCTCGGTCATGTCTGGACCTTCTGCGTACCAGGCATGCTCGTGTGCCCTTGATCTAAGCTAACTGAGGTTGGGGTTAGGTTGTAGTGTGAAGACCTTGTGGGTATCTGTCTGTCTGTCTCTCCTCTTTCATGGGAGGAATAAACTTTTTTTTTTTTTTAATAAAGTCCTATTGGCTCAGGGTTTTTATGCAGTTACATTCTCTCTTTTCTCCTTTCTCTCTCTCCCTCTCTTTCTCCCCTAGGGTGCACCTAAAAATCTGACTTGTGCATCCAGTGGGTTCAAGGAAAATGCTTGTCTTTGGAATCACTATTCCTCTTAAAACAGAAACAAAAAAAAAAGAAGAAGAAGAAGAAGAAAGAAACCAAACCAGTAAAACTCTTGTTTTTTTTTTTTTCCTTCAACTTTCCATGGACAGTAATTTTCCATTAGTCCTGATCCTTCCAGGCTGCTGTTTCAGGTTCTTGCACATAATCTGAGGTAGAAACAAGCTTTCCAGGGATTTGATCTGTTGGCCAGATTTACTGTGTTTTCTGTAATGAAAAGTATTTAACTGCCTTTTAAAAACCATGTACTTCCTATGGAAAGAATATAAATGGGAAAATAATTTCCATTCTATTTTCTTCTTGCTTCAGAAGGCAGACCCTGGAAGTCTGTTGCCCAGGGAGTGTCTGTCACGTAGTCACTTTTCAACATCTGTCTTGAGCACTGTGTCAGCTCTTGTACAGAGAGCACACTTCCTTTTTTTCTTCTAAAATCTTACTTGAATCTTCCACTCTTGCCCTTGACTTTGGTTAAGCAAAACTTTTTTTTTCTTTTTTTTTTAAGTTTTTTCTTCTGAGAGAGATACAAAGAGAGGGGCACTCCCAGTAGGGTCTTCATGCTGCAGTCCATTCACACTCTCAGCCTGCCCGGACCAGAGGCACATGTGCACACACCGTCTGTGCTCAGTGAAGTCCTGGTACACAAACCCAGGACCTTTCACTTGTGCTACCAGTTGTGTTTCCACTGTGCTACCGCTTGAATTTTTTTTTTTAAGTTTGCCTGCATGCATTTGCTGGAGAGAGAGAGAGAGAGAGAGGAAGGAAAATGAGAAAACAACCCCCAAAGGGAATTGTCATGCTACAGTCCTTCCTGTTCCATCCTTCCCTTCAGAATTTTAGGCATTTGCCTTCTTAAGCTGCTGCCAGGTCTAGGACTTGAACTGTGGTTTGTCATATGGGATCCAGCTATGGGATGGCCCTGAAGCTATTTTATACTTAATTTTCTTGTTCTTTTTTTTTTTGGAGAGATTTTCACTGTAGGGCGCGTGCGCTCGCCAGACAGAGAGAGACATAGAGACAGAAAGCGAGAAATCACCCCCCAGGGGGGATGGTCACGCCGCAATCCCTTCTCCATTCTCCTCTCGGGATCTTGGGCACGCACGCACACGCGCCTGGCGTGAGTTTTAAGCCACCGGGTCCGGGACACGAACCGCGGTCGACTACGTGGGAGTCCAGCGACATAGCCATTACGCTAACTGCTGGTTCCCAATTTTCTTGTTCTTTATCTTTCTTGCCCCTATATTTTTTTGCTGTTATGTACATTAAAAAAAAAAAAAAAAAAAAAACCAGCTATCCCATCTTCTTAAGTTTCCTATTTTCTGAGCTGCCACTTTCTCTTAAACAGCAGGACATCAAAAAGATTTATTCTTCCTCACCTTTACTGTTTGGATTACTGCTGTAATCCAAATTTTATATGGAAACAAATAAGACAAAGAGGATAATAATTGTAGATGAGAAATAGTCTTGGGGCCGGCAGGTGGCATGGTAGTTAGGGCGCTGGACTCCCTCTCACATGGCTGACTACAGTTTGAGTCACGGACCTGGTGCTTGCTTTCTCACTTTCTCTTTTCTTTCTCTTTCTGTTTCTCTGGTCAAATTAAAAAATAATAATGATAAATAAAATTAAGTAAATAATTCTTTTTAAAAAGAAAAGAAACAGGTCTTAATCCTTCAGATGTCATAAAGCTTCCATCCTGTGAAGGTAGTGTTCCTCATTTGGATTATACTTATTTGAAATAACAGCAGGGACTCATTTGGAACAAATGTTGGCAGGTTTGGGTTTTCATTTAGGAACTGATTGACTGTTTACCATATAGTCAAGCATATTGTTGGCTTCTGGAACAACACAGATAACTAGGTCCTAGACATCCCTCCCCGCCCCCAAGAGCTTACCTTCTAACCTGGAAATGTCATACTTACCCTAGGAGCAAGTCTGTGGCCATCAGAAATGTCAAGGAAAGTTTGATGACTTGTTAGAGGTTTTGACATCCTCCCCACTTCTTTGTTAGTGGGTCCTGTTCTTATGGAAGAAGAAATACTAAAGCCATGTGCAACTGCTAGAGAAAGAGAAAGTAAACTCAGTGACACAGTGCTTTTATTTTTCACGTGGTAGAAATGTGAATATGAGTTAAACTTCAAACAACAACGTTTGTGTTACAGGTCAAGATTGCTCAACAGAGCCCAGTGGACTCAGGCACTGCCTTCCGAGAACCCACCACGAGATCTCTTGCGGTCAATAACCTCTCTGGGGACAGCCCCAGGGAGGGTCTGAGAGTCAAGCGAGGCCAACTTACCCCTAGCCCAGAAGCTGGACCTGAGCCCAAGGGCAGTGAGAACTGCAGAGTTCAATGAAGAGACCTTGTGTACCAGGACCCCTGGAAGGTGACAGTAGGGAAATGGATAGGAGTCTGCCTGCAGGAATTTTCTTTAGTTAAGGAGTAATTTAACAGTGGGAAGAGAACAATTCTTCATAAGCCTAAATGTGCTGTACCCTTTAGATCTATTATGTGTTAGTATTGGAAAAGTTTGGAAGCACTGATTACCTATTCACTGGTACTCCTCTACTGCAATGTAAATAGCACTGTGTAGAGCTTTTTGGTAAAATGTTACAATTAAATGGCAGGCCACATATAACAACTTTTGGTGTTTTACAGTGAAAAATGCAAAACATACTTTGTATTTCCAATTAACAGCTCCCAGGAAATGCAAACTTTTACTTTGATATTTCCTATGTTTAATGTTAGGTGTGAAATAGTTTGATCAAGGACTTCTCTGAGTAAAATGAAAGAAAACCATACTATATGTTTTTAAAGAAAACGAACACGTGTGTATATAGGTGTTTTCATCCTTGCAATGTGTTTTGTATTTGGTTATATAACTTGTACATATGTTTGTGTGTTGGAGAGATGTGTTGATTTCTGGTTAGTCTGGTTGTAGGATCCTCAGAGGATTACTGTATCATGTTTTCTGTCATTGTACCGGTCAGCCTGAAACATTTTGGGTATTTATACATGTACCCAAGATCCCAATGGGCTGAAGGGGATCCGTATATCTTATCTAAGGTGCTTTCGCGCTCTCCCTTTCTTTCTCATGCATGTATACACACTTGTCTATCGTGAATAAAAAAAAAATGTTTTCTAAGTCACCTTTGTTTTCTGTAAAAATTATTTCTAAGTTTGAAGATACCAACATTGGTGCTGTTTCTTGCCAACTATAACAGCCTGTTAGAAAAGATATTTGTACAAATAATATAGATCCTTGACTAAATGACAGTAGTATATTTAGTGAACATACTCAATTATAATGAAAGGACATGATTTAGAATTTGATTCATAAAGATTGTAAGGGAATATTTTATCCACCCAGTGCCTAGTATGTTTGTGTGTACCCATTAAATTGCATCAGCAAGGACACAGGGATATGGTATTTTTCCGCTCATTCACTGGTGATATGAATTAGAAAACAGGCAGACATTATGAACTATATCAAGTCCAAAAACATGAACAAGCTCTTGCATCCTTGAATCAGAGTTAAACATTTTTCAGGACACGAGCCCAAGATTATTTGTACTTGACTTTCAATTCAGATTGATGCACAAACCTTGACAAATCCAATCATTTATATTTTTAAATTGTCCTTTGCCAGGTGGCCTCCATTGTTGGGTAGTGCTTCAGTAATATTAAGCTGCTTAATATTCATCTGCTGAAATTGATATCCTGACTTTCCTGTTGTTTCTTCAGTTGCTTGAGGTTGTGGTCTGGTGCAGTATCTGTATGATAAATCATCCCAAGGCTGCCATGTGCCCAAGGGCATGGCCCCATGTAGACCTTGCTGGGACCAAGCCATCAGCTTTATTGGCTTTGTCCAGTGATTGGAAGATTCCACTCAGTAGCCCTTGCTAGGGACTTTCTTGGGTCCTTGAAAACGTCTTCATCTTTTTCTGGGTGTGCATTAGCTCTTGTTTTTGTGACATGGAATACTTCCATTTTTGTAATCATAGAGAGTTATTCAAAATGTTATCAATGGAAAGCTAGGACCTTAGATTTTTTTTTCCTTCTACCTAGCAGTATTCATTATACCCTGAGCTTAATGTTTATGGTAGGAAAAGTAACTATGCTACAGCCCCGATGCTAAGTATTTTATAAACCTTTTGAATCACAAATAAGATCCCACCTGACAAATTGTATGGGGAAATCCACCTAGTTCAGTGACCCGGGAATCAGATTCTTGCCTGTACAATGAGGGGCCTGGTTGAGACAATTCTTTGGCCTTGTTTTTTAGGCCTTGAAATGGCCCTTAGTGTTACTGGGGTTGTCAGCAGCCCAAAGGGATTACATCTTCAATACAAGGGGAATAAAAACCAACATTTAAATATAGCCGGATTCTTAAGAGTCATTTCTTCTCCTTGTTCCTTATTCACCTTCTTTGAGATTTGTTTGTGGTTTTTCTTATTTGATTCCAGTTTATTAATTTTGTTGGAACTATTGAATTTTTAGGTTTGTTTTTTAGGAAAGAAACCAGGGCATATCTTCCCAGGGGTCTCTAACTCTAAAAGGGGAGACCTCTTCCACTTTCCAACTGTCTACAAATGCTTCTAACTACTCTTTAGGTGTTTTAATTGAAATGTTGATTGTTAATCTAAAATTTCCAAGTTGTTCCAGAATAATTCAGGCTATGAAAATATCTCATGAGAGAAATGTAAATGGGAAATAAGCCATGATCAATTTTTTTTTTCTTTTTTTGGAGAGTGTTTTTTTTTTTTTTTTTTTTTAAGCTATAGGGCATTTGCGCTTGCCAGAAAGACAGAGAGAGACAGAAAACGAGACATCACCCCCCAGGGGAGATGGCCACGCCGCAGTCCCTTCTCCATTTTCCTCTCGGGATCTTGGGCATACATGCACACACGCCCGGTGTGAGTTTAAGCCACCGGGTCCGAGACTCGAGTCGTGGTCGACCACATGGGAGTCCAGCGACATAGCTATTACACTAACTGCTGGTCCCGCCATGATCAATTTTTGTAAGCTATAGATTTATTGTGCTACAATGAGAAGTTGAACCAATCATGGCAGTTTTCTTATTTCTCTTCTATGGTTGGTGAAGGGGACACAATTACTTCTTAAAGAGAACATTAAGTACCTAAAGGTGGTGTAACTGCCAATTGGTAACTGAGAATTATTGAGCCATGTTCTACTTCTATTCATGAAGTTGTCTTCCCTTTGAAGGAAGGGGTCTTAAGCTAGGTTGACTGAGTAATGAGAAACTAGACCCATGAGTACTTCAGAAGAACCCACTGAATATTCTAATAGGAAAATACCAAGGACTCTAACAGTAGCATCCTATTCCTGGGCATAGCTATGTATCCAACACCACTACCCAGCTGAGCTCAACTACTAAAAACTGCAAAGTTATACACATTTTATGAGTTTTTTCCACTTGTTTGCTTAAGTTTTATGCCATTGTGAGATAGGATCTTTATAGCTGAAATTAACACAGGTACAATTTCTAGCTCATAAGTCAGGGAGGACCTTGTTTAATAATGTATCTCCCAGGTCAGCTCTGTAGCCTAGTGATTAAGGGAGCTGGAACCCACATGGCCAACCATCATTCAGATCTCAGCCCCATTGGCATGGAAAACATGCTAGGTACATGAGCATGCATGCCTCAAATCCTGACAGGGCAGAAGGAATTGTGTGACTGTGCCCCATTGGGGAGTGCTGTCTCACTCTCCCTGTGTCCTGTGAGTATATGTGTCCTCTGACAATTAAAATAATAATGTGTCTCCTGGGAGCCAGATGGTGGTGCATAAGTAAAAAGCTATGTTCTGGGGGCAGCCCCACCTAGGAAGGGTCTCAGGTCAACCCTGGTGACCTTGAGTACACCAGGCATAAGCTTGCCAAGGATTTGGGACTGATTGAAGGCATGGGTGGATTGGGGCATCAGGACCCTGTTGGGAGTGCTGTCTCTCTCTTGCTTGCACTTGCTCACACTCTCACTTGAAAGAAATAAACTAAGAAAATTTTAAAGTCTTCCGGTTCCTTTGAAAAATGATTGTCCATCAGAAGGTGAAATAAGCTCAGAGAGGTGAAGTATTTGGCCCAAGGAGTAGTAAAGCAAAGAGTTTCAACTCTAGCTTTGTAAATACAGAGCCCATTCTCTTTCTTTGTGTGTCCTGTTTCCTTTTGAGAATCCGGCTGGTCTAGATGATTTGTATACTACAGATATTCAGAAGATGTAAGTAGCTTTTCCATATTCTACATGACATGGAGACATTTTTAGTTCTAGGGTAATTGCATCTGACTTTTGTTACCTCATTAAATTCTCAAAAATGTAAAATGAGACTAAGTTTCTGTAAGTGACTAAATACTAACTCAATACGTAAGAACTATTTACTTAAATGAAGGTAAATCCTTTTAAAGAATTTATTTTGGAAAATCATGTAAAATCTAAAGATTCATGAAGTCTTGGGTACAAATCTTTAATGAGATCAAAAGTAAGTGTCAGAGTGCTTGGGCTCACTCTCCATATGACCTTGGGCAAATGACTTGATCCTGTGCCAGGGTTTCCTCAATGACAAAGTTGAATATAACTCTCAGAGTTGTCATGATGTTTAATTTAGTTAGTTAATATTTACCTACATTTAATGATTTTGTACACAATAAAATGTTGGTTACTCTGTATACAGATAATTACATGATGATTTTTTAAAATACTGTAGCTTAAAATAGATAGAGCTGTTCATCCAACATACTGCATTTATTTCCGATCAAATTCTACCCAACAAAATTCTTACCAATTTCAATACCATTGATGCCAATGAGTTTAATCACTGTAGATTTATACATATTTAATTACTGATCTTGCAAAAACCATTCATTAGTTTTTGCATGGTTCATTGAAAATATCCAAAGAAAACAATTGCTGCAATTTTATTTACAAATAAGTTGTGCTCCTGAAGTTCAAATATAAATTGTTTTTTGGAACTCAGAATACATTTGCTTATAGAAACAGCATTGCAAATTATGCCTATGTTTGAGCCCAGAAAATCAGTTTAGCTTCTAATAGGTTATAATGAATTAGATTTGTTTCAACTCTACAAAACTTCCATTCATATTATTGTTTCTCTGGAAAATTTTAGGAATGGGGTTGCCAGGAATTCATTTTTTTTACCCCTTACCCATTCTCTCAGTATATCTCTGTCTTCCCTTCCTGCTTTGTGATACTGGAGAAGATGTGTTGCATAGTCTTGACAGAGAAATGGAGATGTATTAGGTTAAGAAAGTCATGACATGTTTTTTCTATGTAAAAAAAAAATGCATTATGATTTTCCTGATGACCCAGTAGATTTCTGTCTGCCACAATTCTAGAAACACAGCTGCCTCTAGCCTGAAAAGGAAGGTGATGGCTTTTATGTTGATTCTGATGTTGGAGGCAGGGCCAGTTCTGTGCAACTTTGGTGTATTTGTGGGTGTAAATGGTTGGTTGTATTGATGTCTTAAAAAATCAAAAGGAGGGGCTGGCAGGTGGTGCGGTGGTTAAGGACGATGGACTCCCACTTGACTGCATTCGAGTACCAGATCTGGTGGCTTGCTTTCTCACTTCCTCTCTCTCTCTCTGTCTCTCTCTGTCTCTCTCTGATCAAACTGGAAAATAATAATGATAATAATAAATAAAGTTAAATAAAATAATTCTTTAAAAAATCACAAAGAAACACACAATTTTAATTGACTTGCTCACTGAATGTCAGCCCCTCAAATTCCCATCAGCCTCTGTCTATTCAAAGACAATGGTGGCTGAATAGCACTACTGTAGTTTGTTATTAATGTTTCTTCTAGTACGTCGTAAAGATGACCAGAGGGTAATGTATAAAAACATATTTGCCAGATCAAATCCTTTCAGTTTCAAGTGCTTATATCATTTGATACACATTTTTTAAAAAGTTTATATATTTGATGGTGAGGGAAGAAAAGAGACATAAGCATCCTCAACAGGATTGACATGCCACAATCCAACACCCTAATTCTGTCCCCACCCCACAGCCAGCCAGGACCACAGGCTTACCCAAGGGCATCCCCGGAGTGTTCAGGTAGACCCCGGTTTGTGATCCAGAGCCTTCC